GAATTGTGGTTTTGATTTTTTTTTCTTTTTTTTTTTCCCTTGAATTATATGATAAAAGAGAAAAGGAGTGAATATGGAGACAAAGAGAGCCAGAGATGGAGCCCTTATCAATATGTAGAGAGAACAGGGTCCGTGATCCCCACTGCTTCGTTGGCGGGAAAGGAGGTTAGCGTCGAAGAAATTCGGTCTGCCGCTGCGTCTTCTGGCCATCATCCACCTTCTCTCTATCCCGTGATCAGCTCGCCGGAGCCGGATCCCAATGGTATCGAATATCATATATCTCGAACAAACTTTTTTTTCGATTAATTTGGCTTTTAGTTTTTTTTTTTTTTTTGAATTCTTACGTTCTACTTATCGTTGATCCCCTAACAATGGTTATTAAGAACTAGGAATTGGGTTTGGCGTTCTGTTTTGTCCAGAATTTCTGTTACTGAATTTGTGAGTGTGTTTTTCTTTTCTTTTCAATGCTTGCTTAATTCATCAGGGCATTCGTTCAAAAACAATTAATATGGATATCAATACTTCATTATCGTTCTTATTTTGTTATTGGAACAATAGGACTTGTTTAGTTGTACAAAATTGTATTGAGTTTCATTTTCCAAATTCCATTAAGCATGTTTGGATGTTGAAAACAAAATCAGGGTTTGAAAGTTGATTATAAAATTATGAGATGAGTTTGAAAAGAATAGCATATTGTTTCCAATCTCATGCCAATTTTTGCTATTGTTTTCTACAGTTTGTTTGTATTTTCAATTATTAAGTATGCTTTTTTGTTTAAACAAATATAAATTTAGAAAATAAAACTTAAATAGCTTTCTACAACCAAACATGACCTAAATATTTAGATTTGCTATCGGTAATAAGTATTTCCTGTCATTCTTTTCACAGTTAACATAATGTCTTTGTTGTGTGCATTGCTGTTTTTAACTTGTTTAGCCATTTCCACTTTAGTTTTTAACTTGTTTAGCCATTTCCACTTTAGCTTATCACTGTCTAATTCCTGCGGTTGGATTTGAAAAAGTTTTTTTTCTCATCTAAAAGTTTTCTTTTCCTTTTCACTTTCTGAATGAGCCAACAACACACTTTTCTTCCTTGTAAAAAAATTTTCAGCATAGGGGTACATTGCCACTCCAGAGGATGGTCATGGTTTTTTTTCCTTCTCCCTATTATCTTCCTTTACATGCAAATTTCCGCATATGTTTTAACTATTTTATAACTTGTTGCAGAGCAAGCCATTTTTTATCAAGGTGTTTATGGGGCTGATTATGGTGGAAGGACCAGTGAATTTCAAAGGTAAGACAGGATCAACTCAATACGTATGATACTTTCGACTTTTTGGGATCTATTATGCAGCTTGATTGACTTGTGAACTCGATAGAGGTCCTTGTCTCTTAGATTGGCTTTGCTTTGGTGGAAGTCTAGATCTAGGAATAGACTATTTAGTAGATTAAGGTTATTATAGTAACTCTGGCATATGTAGAATGCCAAGGTTGATGCAAGCCTTTGTATGAGATATATGTCCGATAGGTTATATATTATATTATTTTACTGATTGCCTTTATACCAAGAACAAAAAAACGAAGGTCTTTAAAAGGAAAAAGAGCTTTTTATGAAATATAATAAATTACCTGTAGGAAACTAGATTTTTATGAAATGGAGTGCTGATGAACTTGTATAGTTTACCATTTTCTTAAATAGAGTGCTGCTTATGCTAAAGAATGTTTTAGCCGAGGTTTTTGTGAATGTTACATCCGATGTTGTTTGCTGCTGTTTTGTACATTGAATTGACCTAAGGAATCTCTGTTACCTGCAAACAAGATTTTGTATATCATCAAGCTATAATGAATTCCAAGTTCCTTTAAGGTGTTCATATTAAACTGGTAAAGGAGCGAGTAGTATTTTATTCAAATATCTTCATTTGATCCTTGTTATAAATAGCTTTTCTTTTTTTGAACCCCAACCCACCTCTGGCCAAAAGAGGCGACTTCCGAGATTTCCTTTTCATTTTGTTCAGGATGCTTGATGTGACCAAGCTATTATCTGCTTTCCTGTTTCAAATGAAAAAACATTTCTTTTCAATCTCAAGAACATTTTAACCATGAACATCCCAGGGAATCCTGCCAAAAAAGTGTGCTTATGAAATCAGTTATAGAACTTGAGGAGAAGTTTATGTGTGTACTATCAACAATTTAGTTTTTAGCACTTCTTGTTGCACCTCTTGTTTCCATGATTTCTGGAGGTGATTGTGATAATCATGATACTGACTACTTCAAAATTACAGAATCATGTTAATTACCTTCTTATAATGAATTATCTGTGTGTAGGCAAATATTGGATGAGGTAGAGATGCGAGAGTTATTGATTGATCATGTTGGTCACCGTTGCTGTTGGGGAAGTCGGCCTGCCCGGACATGGAAGATTCATGCGATTGAGGACTGCAATGTTTATGTGGGAACTCTAGAAACTTTTGTAGAGGAAAGGGAAACTATCAAAGAAACAGAACCTCACCTTGGTGGAGATATTGATGGAAAGGATCGAGGACCTGAATGTGGCATTTGGGAACTGGACTTGAAGTCACAGGCCCCTGTTCTATTCGTACCTCATAAAGAAATCCGAGTAAAGATCCCTCATTCTGAAATACTTGAAAAATGCGGAGGTAATGACCCTAAGATTTGAGACTGTTTCACTTTTTATTAATTTTGTCAGTATCAATGATTATATTACTCTTAGGCATCATAGCTTTTTATGTTAATAATAGTGTTCATAATCCCCTAATGCGGCCTTGCCAAACATCTGCAGGCTGTGCAGGAAGAGGAAGCACTATCTGCCCCACATGCAATGCAGATCAAGAACCGGGATATTACAAGGAAAATCAAATGATTCCATGCTCTGCTTGCTATGGAAGAGGTTTGATTGCACATAGAGATGGATCAGACACAATGTAAGTTATTGCTTCATTGACTTATTTAGCTTAAGGAAATCAAGCTTCACTTGGATCTTGCTAGATAACTGATTCCGCATTATGTCAGTCATGCACTTACATAGCTCACCTAAATAACATTGACTAAAATCCCCTATGTCTTCTCCGGTGGTAGCATAAATGATTTTCCAAGAATGAAAAATCTGTGATTTGCTGTACTAAGGGGGTGCTACCAATTAACCAAAATATCAATAACGTCCCGTAAATCCTGTTCTCAAAATTAAGAGGATGAACCTTAAAGTTGTTGATTGTTGCTGCTGAAACTGGCTAGTTATAAATTGAATAACTGTTCCTCCAGTGTTATCCCTGCTTCTGAGCTACGTGTTTTATTATCTTATTTTTTCTGTCCTCTATCTATCTTTGCAGATGCTCTAAATGTGGTGGAAAAGGGAAGATTCCTTGTGCAACATGTGGATCTCGTGGGTTGATGAAATGTGAAGCATGCCATGAAAGTGGTTCTGTTTTGACACGCAGTGTTGCTGTTGTTAGATGGTAATCTTGTTCAAAAAATTCTACCGTGCTTATGATTCTAATTGCTCATGTGCTGTGACTCAAAATCCTACTAAATGCTATCATTTTATAGTCTCCTCCATCAGTTAATCTCTCCAACTTGGAAACTGTATTTGTATGTCTAATTTTGATGAGTTGCAGCATATTATTTAAATAATTATCCCCTAGCTATATTATAGCTAAATTTTTTAAAGATTTCTGCTGCTAGAAGCATCCTTTTCTATGAGAATTAGAATCACATCTCTGCATTTGACTTAAGGAAACATATAATTGACCCATATGCTACGGCTACTGTAAATGATTATTTGGTTAATGAAGCCTAACTCAAGTTTTGAAAGGAAACTCTGCTAACCAAGTACTGGCATCGTACAGGGAAGGAGGAGTTTGACAATCACATATACTAAATAGACAGATCTCGGTCTTTGTTTCCCAGATTTTCATCATTTATAAATTTCGGGTTGCCAGCATGCGATGGATCTGGATTCTGTTACTGTATGCATTATGACTTGCATACTTACAGCCATTTGTTCATGCTTGTATTCATCTGCACAGAATTATCTTGGTGCATATCCGAAGGCTAATAATCTTTTCCATCAACAGGAGAACACTTTCAACTCGAAAAGTAAGTGCTACCAGTGGAGCAGCATCGGTTCCAGATGAGGTTTTCCATAGAGCCAAAGGAGTCCAATTGTGCAACACTCAGGCATATCAATGCACACCAGCCTTTTTTGCAGATTCGTTCTTCCTGAACAAATTTTCTTCAGAAGTTATTGCAGATAGGGCCAATGTACCTTCCACTGCCAGGGTCATATGTGAGAGACACATCATCTCTGTTGTGCCGGTTACACGCGTCACTATGGCTCATCGTGATCGATCCTTCAGTTTCTATATCATTGGTTTCAGCCGGGAGGTTTACTTAAAAGACTACTACCCTTCACGGTTTTGTTGGGGTTTATGCCCTTGCCTCGAATGGTTGAAGCTGTAGCAGGCAAGTTTTGGCCTTTTAAGGATTGGGTGCATAATTAATTTGCCAGTCAGATTTGGAAGACAGTTTCACTTGCTTTGTTTTTGCTTTTTTCTTCATTCCTTTCTTTTCTGTTAGTCGATCGGGTTTATCAATTACTTGTGAATGAATGCATTAGATCAAAGAGTAAATTAGATGATTCTCAAGTGATTGGAAAGTGTTGCATTGCATATGGATTTTTGGCCCAGTTGGATTAGAGAATGTCAAATGCCCATCAAAATCCTTTGTGAAGGTTGTGCGCTATTTAACCTTTTGTTGTGTCTGCTATTTTATTCAGCAGTGGAATAATTCATGTAGCACATGTTGTAATATGTTACAATATAAGTACAGGAAAATACAGCTTCCTGTTTGAGGATCAAAATATATTAATCCCAAAGATATACAAATTGGAATAATGTAATATTTTCTTTCTTACTAAAAAAACTTGGGAGAAAGCCATTAACTTTATTTTTCCAGTATGGTCAACATCTCTCTCCTATCTTGTCATGGAATAAAACATTATACGTATATATTCTCAATTTCACTTCCATTTTACAACAGCTGGTAGTTGCTCTTGCAAATTTAAGATTTTTTTTGGGGTCAAAATATTCAAAATATATGATGTCTACAATAGTTGTGCATTAGATATATAAACTATTATAGAACAGAATATTATTACTTCATTTAAATTTGTATTCACCAAATACTTAATGTTTTTTTTTTGGGTTCAGTTCTATCTATTAATATTCTTTAATTTTTATTAATATTTTACACTTTAATGTATTTTAAATTTATGGGTTTCATATGTCAATCAGATTGCTGTCTCTAAGTTCTAGAATTGGTCTACAATTAAATTTATTGTTTTAGAAAATCACAACCTACTCTTTTACAGCTATCTCTTTTCTTACAAGATTTTTGACTTCTTTCAAGACGTACTGGTTTATGAAATTTTATAAGCTAATTAATATATTCTCGTATACAAATAATATATTATATTCTTTAACTTCCTACTTTGAAAAATTAATTAGTTTTAATTTATAGACATTTCCTATAATTTATTAGTTCATTTACAGTAATTTTTTTCCTTGAACATTTTAGATTTTAATTTTTAATAGGAAAAAAAAAATCCTAATTAGCTTTTAATTTGAAAATTGCAGATTGTATGATATGAAATAACACTATTCAAGTAACCTTAAATCAAAGAAACACTGAATATTAGTCTATTTTATGAGACGTATTTTTTATTTTTGTTTAAAGTTTTGAAAATTATGAGAATAATAAAATTAAAAAAATAAAACAACACAATACGATAAGTATGAGAAAAATAGAGGAAAGTGATCTTTAGTCTGGGTCCATTTAATATTAAGTTAATTTTAATTTTAGTTTTTAGAAGAAAGCATACTTAATTTCATTGTATTGTTTCTTTTAAAAAAATTAGTTTCAGTAGTATCTTAAAACCTAATATATTGACTAAACTATATGGCATTTTCGATTTAGGCATCATTCTTTCTCAAGAATGCAATCACTTCGTCAAATTGATCATTCCATCACTCATTGTTCATCTTTTGTATATGACATATGTCACTTTACTAAACAAAAAAGAATTTGTTTCCTAATTAGTAGCTCAACAAGTGAATAAATTTTTGATTTATTACACCCTGATGTCTGGGGTCTAATTTCTAGTGCTTCCCTGTGTAGCCATTATTATTTTCTAACTATTGTTGATGATAAAAATAAATATATATAGTAATTTCTTATAAAAGAGTAGAGCAAAGGTACATAGGCTCATTATGAACTTCTTTCCATATGTAGAAGCACAATTCAATAAGAAGATAAATTGTGTTCGTTCAGATAATTCTAGAGAATTCAACATGCCAGAATTCTTTGCTGGAAAAATAAACCATGTATCAAAATTTTTGCTCAAATACCCCACAACAAAATAATTTAATTGAAAGAAAGCATCAACACATCATGAATGTGGCTAGATCTTTAAAGTCTTAAGCTCATTTACCCATGAAGTTTGGACATATTGTGTATTGAATGATACGTACATAATCAATTACATACCTTCTCCTATCATCAACAATAAGCCACATTTAGAAGTCCTATTCAACCTTCTTCCAAAAATTAATCATTAAAAATCTTTGGTTGCCTATGTTATATCTCTGCAATTGACGTTCATAGGTCCAAATTTGATTCATGAGCCACCAAATATCTTTTCTTGGGGTACTCTTCTTATGTTAAAGGTTATAGAATATATTATTTCACAACTCAGAAAATTTTTATCTCTCGAGATATAGTTTTCATTGAAAATATTGTCTTTTGCTCATTCAAACAAATAAAAACTAGATGATTTGGTCTTACCTCATATTAATGAATTTTTTTACAACTTCTAATAATGATACATTCAGGTCCATAGATTCACTGGATGATGTAGGTCATGGGAACTCAATTTATCTAATCACTTCTGGTAATTCCCCTAACTCTTCTTTTATCTTCTTATAATAATCTCATATCCAAATATAAACATATTGATCTTGAAAATCATGTCTTTGTACCACTCACTTTGGTACCTAAAAGATTTAATAGGTCTATAAATTACAAGATTATTATTTATATGGTCTGAAGTTCCATATTAATTCAAAATCATCAACACCTTATTCTATTTCTAATGTCGTTTCTTACCAAAGTATAAATGATACCAACAAAATCCTTTATTTTGTTATATCCCAAGGTAAGGAACATACATCATATAATGAAGTCATTGAAAACTCTTGTTGGAAAAAGGTCATGCTTGTTGAAATCAAAGCATTGGAAGATAATAAAATATGGGAATTAACTACCATACCTTCTAAAAAAGAACCAATTAGGTGCAAATGTGTTTACAAAATTAAAAAAAAAAAGTAGATAGTTTTATTAAAAGATATAAAATAAGAGTAGTAATAAAAGGATATACTCAAGATTGTTAAACTGACTACCATTTGTGCACTACTTATTATTACTGCATCTAAAGGTTGGTTCCTTCATCAATTGAACAATAACAATGCTTTCTTGCATAGTGATCTTTCTGAGAAGTTTATATGACTTTTCCATCTAAATTTGAAGCCCCTCAAGACACCAGTAATGTAGGTCCAAAAAAAATTTATATGGTATAAAATAAGAAAATAGATAATGATACTTTAAACTTATAAATGTCTTAATAGATCAAGGTCTTACTTAGGCTTATTATGATTTCTCTTTATTTCTTAAATATGATGATTTATTTTTCATTGCTCTTATTATATATATTGATGATGTGATTCTTACAAGCAACAGTATGAATCAGATTCAACTTATGAAAGATTACCTACATAATATTTTTTAGATAAAAATTCTTGGTGAGTTAAAATTATTTCTGAGTTTGGAGGTAACTCATTCTTCCACTAGAATAAATATTTGTCAAAGAAAATATACTTTAGATCTATTACGTGACACCCATGGCTTCTTCCACAAATTATGTTGTAAAGATGGTTCATCATTAGTTGATTCTACTTAACAAGATCTTATATTTGTTATGTAGTTCAACAGCTTTCATAATTTTTGAATTCACTGATATAAAAATATTTATAAGTGGTTCATAAAATCTTATAATATTTTTTTAAGCACTCTTAGACAAAGATCTACCATTCGAAAAATTTATTACATTTAAAAATTTTTAATGATTCTGATTTAAATTATTATATTGATTCTCGTAAATCACTAATTGATTTTTATGTATTTCTAGATGAAATGCTCATTTTTTAGGAAATAAAGAAACAATTTTTCAATCATATTCATAAGTTGATTATCGTGTTTTTACTGTTATCACTTGTGAATTACAAGACCTTCATTATTTATTAGAAGACTTACATATCTATCATCATACTATGGCTCTCTATTATAATAATCTATCCACTATAAAGTTGTAAAAAATTTTGTATATTAAGAATGCACTAAACATATTGAAATTGATTGTTATTTTATACGACAAAAGATTGTTGATGAATTTATTTATTTTTTGTCAATAACTTCTTCATATCAATTAGCTAATTGCTTCACTAAACTCCTTGCTTTTGCCTTTTAATTTGGCAAAGTCAAGTTGGGTATACAAAATTTGTATCTTCCACCTTAAGGGGATCTAATAGAGTAGATAATCTAAATGCAACTAGATTAATTAATGTAACTAGATTAGCTAAAACAATTAAAGGTTTGTTTTAGTTAATCATGTAATTAGTGCTAGTCAATTGCAATTAGGGTAATTAATTATTTCTCTCTCTCTCTCTCTCTCTCTCTAGCATTCTTGATTCGAGTTGATTGTTTTTGATTTCTTGATTCAAGAAATTGATTAGATCATTGATGATCTTGAATTTTAACAGTCATAAACGACGTGAAAGTAGTCGATGAATTGATCTAAAAAACCGATTTTGTTTCCACATATATATATTATAGTTTACTAAAATTATTTTTATTGTAGCTCATTTTTCTTGTAATGGTACTTAATGGCATCAGTGTAGTTTTCAAAGTGCTGAAGCCATGAAATACAAATTAGAAGTCAACATAAGCTGTTGGTTTTATGAATGGAATTTAAGAAAAGTCAAATTAGAAACAGTAAGGCTCCTCTCCCAGCAGACTTCCACTGTTTGGAAACTATTTTGATTTCACCTGACGTCATATTCCATAATTTATAATTGACACGAAACCAAAACAAGAGAATTTATGTTGACAAACAAAAGAATCAAAATTATAACATGCATGAATGTGGATTCCAAATAAGATAATAAAACAAATTTATAAAATGGAATTGGAGTTCAAAGGAAGCATAGTTATCTCCTGAGATGGTGCCCAAAGTTTTTCCTCTTGATTCTTGCTCTTCTTGTCTGAGCGGAAAGAGAGAGACGTTCACTGTGTGGATGAAATCACTGTTGATGCAAGGAAATGGATGCACAGTTTTCAACTCAAATGGTGATATTGTGTATCGTATTGATAATTATGATGACAAGTGTAGCAGTGAGGTATGTCTTATGGATCTCCATGGAAGAGTTCTTGTCACTATTGTACAGAGGGTATGTATATAAGTTGATACTATAGATATATGTATACACAATGCTAATGGGTTTTTGTGGTGTTGCTGATACAGAAAGTGTGGCCGTTCAAGAGCTGGGAGATTTACAAACAAGTGAATAGAGAGAAGCCATGGCTTCGAGTCAAAACATATTCCAAAGCAAAATTTAGATTGGAAACTAATGATGAAGCAAATTGGTATCAAGTAGAAACGTCGGCTTGTAAATCACAAGTCAAAATTCTTGATGGAAATGGAAATATAGTTGCAGAGGTGAGAATCAATCTAGACAAGAGTTGTACATGAAAAATTTTCTTAGTTTTCATTTTTCTAATATATATATATTTTATTTATCCAATTATATGGTCTGTGTAAGACGGAAGATTTATTTCTTCTTTTATATATATGTTTTAAGCTTTTCAAATGATTTATGATGAATAATCAAGGGTATAGTGTATAATGACGGGGTATTTTGTGTTGTGCAGGCAGAAAGAAAGCGATCGTCTTCAGGTGTGGTATTAGGCAATGATGTGTTGGCATTAACAGTGGAGGCTGATGTAGATCATTCCTTCATCATCACTATTTTAACTGTTTATGGATTGATTAATAAAATACTGTGATTCATTTTATATCCTCACCATTTAAAACATTCTGATCAGTTACTTCTTTTATTCTTCAACTCATATGTCTCTTTATATATATATATATATGTATATACATGAATCAAAGTAAAATATTATTTAAAGATAAACTAGGTCTTGACAGAAATCATACCAATGGACTTACTAAATTGCTTAGGCAAAGAGCTACCGTTTTTCCTTTCTGCACATGCAAGAGATAACTCGGCCAATCTTAGATCTTAATAAGATTAAATTCAATCTAAATGAGATTGGAATCAAAAGGTTTAGATTAGCAGATATTGAAAGAATATACGAGGGAAGGATCTCTCCCCATTGCTGCAGAATTTATACAAAAAGAATACACATTATCACTAGGGATATATATATATATATATATCATGATCTGCAAAAATTTTTTATGTTTTTACAGAATAAATCCCTAGAGATCAGTACGTCATGAGAATGAATGACAAGCAGGTACATCATTAGCACTTAGCTTTCTATTCTATATTTTATTGAGCAGGTACCTTTCACAGTGTAGTTTCCTTCGGCGTTACGGATCCTAATGTATTTCTTTGTGTTTTTTAATGACTTATGACTTGATGCTACATATGTCATTGATTAGATCTAGATTGAAAATGGATTGAAGAATTGAATTATTCATTCATTAAGGCTTGTTGTAATTGGCTAGCTGACATATATAAATTCAAGATACACTCGGCATTGAGGATTAAATCCAGGATAGTTAGGGATTCAAGGATTATACCAAGTGTCAATAGTATACTGTCATCCCTAATTAACTTGCAAATGCTTTTAAGAGGGAAATTTTTAGTTTTAAGAAGGTCTTCAAGGAGTCTAATTGTTTTGGGGATGGCTCGAAGAAATTGAATACCTTATAAATATTTAGCTTTCACTAAGTTACCCTACAAACTTGAGAAGTTGGTAAACAGGACCCAATATGGTGAAATTATGCATGATTTCATGTATTGGAAGCATGCATAATTCTAAATCCTAAACTACCAACACTTTTGGGGCTTACATAAATTATCCTAGTTAATGAGGTATAACTTAGATTTTGTCCTTAAAAATATCCTGCACAAATTTCTTTGCCAAAAAATCTATTTTATGAAATCTTCTTAGACAATACATAATAAGATAGTATTAAGAAGATGATATACATATGCTTACCTTGTCAAGCCATTGCTGAAAACCCAAGATAAGGAAAATCTCTCTTTGTAAATTCCATATCTGTCAGTATCTTGATACTCTCTTTCACTTTGCCTTCATATTTGCACTGAAGTGGGTTGTTGATTTCTGAAGATTTAAAGATCCTTGAAATCAAATGCAACAAATGTTAAAGCGATTGAGGACCTCCGAAATTTCTTTCTCATTTGTTTTATAGAATATAAAAATATCGTTTATGAAAAGACAGTGCGAAATAACTTGAGAATGTAAATGTGAGAATATAAATTTTTAGGTGATTCTAGAGATTAAAATAATCTGAGCGTTGATAAGTTCGATGATTCATAAGCTAATAAAAAATTAGATATTAAAAAATAAAGATAAAGTACTTCATATGAAAAATTTGATGAAGTGATTAAATAAAGAGATCAAAATATAATTCAAATTTAGATATACATTGTATTGGAAAATACACATGATAGACAAAAAAGATTCTTTATCAGTGAGATATGTGCAAATATGCGGTCTAGTATTGATGAGAAATGATTATAAACTCTATATCATGAACTGTCTATTACTTCGTAACTATAACTGTAATTATAATTATGACTACAATTGTGCCAGTAGCTATGATAGTAATTGTGATTACGATTTTGACAGTAACTATGATTGTGATTATGATTGCAATTATGACAGTAATTATTATATGATTATGACTGCAATTGTGATAGTATTATGACTGTGTATGCGCCAATAATTATGATATTTGTGTAACTATGATATTTGTATAACTATGACTTTGTTTATATTGATAGTGAGATTATCATTTCCTTTTATGAATTTGACATGATTGATATCATGTGAAAATCAATAATAAATTCATGTGCAATGTGTATTCGTTGTATTTGGTTAATGGTAGGAGTTTTACTCTTATGTGAATATGTGTACAAGAAAAAGTACTATATATGTGAATATGTGTAATTAGTTGGTTATATATTTGTAATATAGAAAGTGAGAATAGATTCGGATTATATGTGAGAATTTAGACTATGTTGATATGAATTAATTGAGAATGAACCGGAGATATATATAAAGGAAGTACAATAATTTAGTAGATCGATATGACAACCGCATGAATATTGGAGTCTTATTTGTATGTTATACTCATTGCATTAAAGTAAGGTAAAAGAGCCGAATTAGTATATTATTTTCAGTTTTCATATTGGAGTTTTATATTATTCTTACTGAGTAAATAGTAGTTCACTCTTTTCTTATAATTTTCAGAGCAGGAAAGTCAAGAGCAGTTTTAAGATTAAAAGAGAAGGAGAAGAATCAATTTACGATTTTGAGAAATTGTTTGTAAAATAGATAAAAAATTTATTTTAGTATGTTATTAAAGATTTTATGAGTCTCAAGAATTATAACTCTGTACAACGAGTGTAAGATTAAATTCTAAATTTTAATGTATTATTGCATCATATATTAGATTTAATACGTGTGGTAGCATTCATTTCTTATCAGAGAAGGTGGGTCGTTACATTTATAATTTTTTCTTTATAGTAATTTGAATAATTAAAATAATTAATTTATAATTTAATTAATAAAATAAATATAATATATAAATTATTAGTAGTAGGTGTGAGATTAGTCTTGTCTTAGTGGCAATCTATACAAATAGATTAGTCATTTTTATATATCCCTATTGGCTAGTATACTAATATAGCTTTGAATATGAACCACATGTCGGTATAGAGAAACTTTTACTAAAAGAAAATTTTGTTAGGCCTAAACCTTTACAAACAAAATTTTCTATTTGTATAAACCCAAAGACATATTCCCCACGACTTGTGTCCATTAAAAAGTAAATAGAGGAACAGAAAAGGTTTCCATTAGAATAAGAATATATATATATATTGTAAAGAAACTTAGCCGGGTAGGGTAGGGAGCATTTAATGCTCCTTAATTTTTCTGTTGTGTATTTATTGAGTAGAATCTTGGAAACATATATATATACAGGGAAATGAAAAGAGGGGATGAATGCAGTTTTTGAAAACGTCAGAGACCACCAGCTGTCTCTAACTTTTAAACAGAAAAGAAAATCTGGACCCTTCATTTTGGGGTTTTGATCTAGGCAGTCCATCTGTCTATTTTGTCAGCCTTCTCATTTTCTCTTGATTCTTTTCACCTGCTCCTCAAGATGAAGTCAGTTTGCTTTCGGTTCTTCGAGTTCCTCCCATCTCTTCTTTGACTTTTTGAACTCTCTTGTTGCAGATGCTTCATCTTGAACAGAAGTCGATGGTGTGCCAAAGTCCCTAAGGGTTTTGTGAGCAAATCGGCGAGCTGTTCCCTCGAGGTGACATGCTTTGTTTCCATAAAGCCCTTTTGAACCTGGTTGTGTACTATGTGGCAGTCAATGTCAAGGTATTTCGTTCGTTCGTGAAAAATCGGATTTACTGTGATATGTTCGGCTGTTTTGTTGTCACAATTCAATGTTACGGGTAAATGGGGTGTTATTTGAAAATCATCAAATAGATAGGTTATCCACTAAACCTCACATACCTTGGATGACATACTTCTATATTCAGCCTCTACGGAAGACTTACTCACCGTAGCTTGTTCTTTGTTTTTAGGAGATCAGTGCAAGCCAAGGAAGATGTAGAAGCCTGTGAATGATTTGCGGGTATCAGACACAATGCCCAGTCCAAATCACAAAAAGCTTGAACTCTAAAGTCATTTTTTCTCGAAAAGAAGATGTCTTGCTCCAAATATTGCTTAGGTACCTAACAACGTGTAGTGCGGCGTCGAGGTGCGGTCGTCTGGGTTGTTGCATGAACTAATTGAGGTATTGAATGGAGTACGTTATGTCGGGCCTGGTGAAGTTGAGATAAAGTAAACGACCGATTAGACGTCTATATCTCTCTGGATTAGGTAAGATCTCTCCCTACTATGTATTTAGTTTTAGTCTGGAAGGCAGGGGAAAGTGGCTTTCTTTTGCATCTTCCATCTTTTTATCTTGTAGAATATCTCTGGTGTATTTTTTTTGCTAATGTAGATTCCTTCTTTTGTGCTAACTATTTCGAATATGAGGAAATATCTTACTTGGCCGAGGTCTTTGACTGTGAAGACTTCATTTATAGCGCTTTTGACTCCGTAAATCTCTTCTTCATTAGGACCGGTTACAAGTAAGTCATCCACATATACCACAACTGTAACATAGTTTCCTTTTGTTCCTTTTGTAAATAGACAGTGGTCGGCTTCTGACTTGGTAAAACCGATAGATTGGAGCTTTGAGATAAGCTCCTTGTTCCACTGGCGACCCGCTTGCTTTGGGCTGTATAGGCTCTTGGTTAGTGGTAGACTTGCCATTTACTAGCCTTAAAGTATCCCTCTAGAGGTTTTAAGTATAACTTCTCTTCCACAAAATCATGTAGGCATACGTTGTTGATGTCTAACTGGTATACTGGTAAGTCACTTACGGCTGCCACAGCTAAAAATAGTCGAACCGTGACCATTTTGGCCACTGGTGAGAAGCCATCATGATAGTCTATGTCGAACTCCTGGTTGTAGCCTTTAGCTACAAGTCTTGCTTTGTATTTATCAATTGATCTATCGACATTGTATTTTATTTTATACACTCATTTTGAGTCGATTGCTTTCTTCCTTATTGGTAGTGCAGTTAGTTCCCATGTTCTATTTTCTTCTAGTGCGAACAGTTCGGCTTATATGGCCTCAACCCACTTGCTGTCCCCTTTAGTATTCCTGTATGACATTGATTCTTTGGTAATAGACACTTGTACAATAAAATTAACATAGTCGTG